AAAATCTCAAAACTAGATTGTACAACCAGTGCGTGTTTCCAGTGATGACCTATGGATCTGAGACGTGGTCCTTCACTGCCCGCTGTATGAGGAAGCGCAAAGTCGCCCGGCGTGCTATGAAGAGGGCTATACTCGGGGTTTCTCTGCGTGATAAACTTAGGAATGAGAATATCCGCAGTAGAACCAGGGTAACTGCCATACCTAACAGATTATGGCACATAATATGTGTATATTATGGCAACATAGCTCGAAGAACCGATAACCGATGGGGAAAAAAGGTTCTCGAGAGGCAGCCTCGTATCGGCAGGCGAAGTGGGCGTTCATCGACTTCCTGCATGTCTTATGCAGGAAGTCGATAGATGCAGGTGGCTCAGGACCTTTTCCTTGAGGGAGGCCTATGTTCAGTGGACTTGTGAAGGGCTGTATCGATGATGATGATGATGAATAAATTCTAAAGCGATGTTAGATATTTACTTGCGCTGAAAAAAATATATTTCCAATTTAACGTAGTCCTTCGTCAACTTATAAATATAATTAATAAAAAGATGATTGTGTAAACCATAATGTTTATGCCCCCACGAAGCAATCAACTCTCTTCATTCATAAGTGACGTCGCCTAAACTTGGGTCCGATCCGTCGCTACATAATCGTAAATTATAAAACTTGATCGCAAAGCATCATTCCGCAGTCGTTCTCACGTTCTTTATTTATTCACTCGTATTTGCTTTCGCACAAAACTAATGTAGTCAGTCATTTTAAGTTTATGATTTTTTCATCCTGTGTGAACGGGAATTGTTTTGATATTTGATTTGTTATAAACAGATATTTATAAAAATAATGTGTTTATATGTAAGCATTTTTGTAACATGTTTTATAACATGTTCAACTGTAACAAATGGACAAAAAATGGATAGAGGTTCGATTGGATTTCCCGAGAGCGAAGAAAACCCAAATTTTGAAAATAAACCGGTGAGTTATAAATGTGGTATTAGAAATATGAAATTATCATACCTACGTATATTACGTGTATATGGTCAAACTTGAACTGTCAAGGTTAGTGTTAATCATTGGTAACTAAACACTTTTAGTATAAATTTATTTAACTGTTAATTGTTATTCCATTTTTATATTCGTTCTTCATACGTAATAAGAAACGAAAACATAAAATACATACAAGAAAAGTAATACAGAATCGCTGTTTGATTTGGTAACTTTTCATATTTTTCTACTCACTATGTGGCACGTGGTAAAATAACACTTAAAATTACAGGGAATCGAACTATGATATCCTGCCTTGTATCATGTAAATTAATATATAGTGTCTGTCAAATTACATAGCCAACAAACAGCTTACAGTATATTTTATACAAGAAAGCAAGTAATCAGCATCTCAAAGATCTCAGAATTGGTATTGGCCGTTGAGTCGGTATTCCCAATAATCACAACCAACGTTCATTGGCTGCGAAATAGTTCGCAGATATGTGGTAAAGTGATTACAAGTATAAAAGCTTTCAATATTGGCAGTGACTTATTTAGTGCGATACGCTATAAATAGTGCTGGTACAAATCCGGTTAGATAAATGGACTGAAGGATGTTGAAAAGGTTAAATTTTATTCGCATAAACATTAATACATAATATAAATATGCAAGTTCCAATATCATAAATATGCACGTCTTGCGATTTACAAGTCCAGTTTCGTTGTCCACCCCAGTGGCGGATTATCCTTAAGGCAAACTAGGCACGTTGCTATGACGACGCGTACGCGGAAGTTTTTAAACGGAAGAAAATGTATTTACTTAGTTACATAAATTTATTATATTTAATATAGAAATATGGAACTTAGAAACGTATTTTCTTGTCACATTTTTCATCCACATCCTAACGTCCTTCATCACTTCCCCCTTTTAAGGTACACGTGTCCTAATTATTTTGCAATAAAACTGTATTACAAATTATGATATCCTATACCTTTAAACGAGCAATTCTTAAATATATATATATATATATATATATATATATATATATATATATATATATATATATATATATATAATCGGAATCTCGAAAACGGCTCCAACGATTTTCATAAAATTTTGTGTCCAGGGAGTTTCGGGGCAATAAATCGATCTAGCTAGGATTTATTTTTAGAAAATGTTTTTTTGTCCGTGTTTTCAGGAAATGAAAAACTGCTACAATATAAGAAGGTAAATTTTGACACTGTTATAATGATCGTAAAAGCTCAAGAGGATGTCGAGCGGTCGCGACATCTTAATGCCTTGGTTCACGTCGTGTCTTCGGTCCGATTTTTTTTTCAAGTTCCCTGTTTTTGTGAGAAAATCTATTATTTCGAGCCCTTTTTTTTAGTATTTTTTAAAAATACGAAAATTTTAATTAAACCAATTGCACTCATGAATTTTTTATTGAAATAACCAGTTCAGTTTTTTCTATTATGTCAATAAGATCAAAAAATATTGTTCATGTTTCATCAGTATGTAATTTGTATCTAAATGTAATTTCAAACAAAAAACCGAGCAAAGCTCGGTCATCCAGGTACTAATAACTTTATACGCGAAATAAGTAGTAATAGTTTATAATATATACTAAAATACTGCTCCACCCTCACTAATTTTAGTACAATTGCAGTTAGTTATCTTCTTCCAAGTGGTAGAGCTTTTTCTCTACCTTGAAGTACATTTGGATATTGGCGTTTATAAATAAGCTTAAAACAAGTAAATTGAGAGATTTTTAGTAATACTGATTACTAATGCGTAATATAAATAAAAGTTAATTAAAAACAAAAGAATGAATTCTTTTAAATTCGTACTTCGAATAGAGTTAAGATAAATTACTAGAATTACCTATTGTTTTTAATTTTTTCCTAGTACAAATAGATTATTCTACTTCGGAAAATTTATATTAGTAACATTTGAACAACTTATAGTGATTTATAATTATCACTTATAAGTAATGCTTTTATCATAAAAAATTTATTTTTTTCATTTCCAATTTTCTAGTGCATAAACAAAAAGTTATCATTTGTACTTATTTTTTTTTGTTTTTTTTAAGATGGCAAATGTAGTTATAGAATATAAATGGTATTATACTTTTCTTTCGGAATTACATACTTACATTCGGAATTTTGAAAGTCGTATATGTCGTATTTAGAGTTTTCGTAGAAAGTTTTTTTTAACGATGTTGTTATGTGCGATAGTCGTACGACGTATAGAATCTATATTGATGATGATCGATGATGAAATTTGGCGTTATGAGAGGATTTTCGTGGGAAATTTCCCCTTCAAAATATCCATAGATAATTGGATTATCTAAAAGAAATAAACTTAGAACTGGTGGCAATTTATATGTGATTGTGCTATGAAAGATTAACCGTCTTTTGATTAAAAGTAATTAGCAACATCTGTTAATTCAGTTCGGAAATATACACATAAAAATACAGTCAAATTGATAATCTCCATCTTTAAAAAGAAGGGTAGTCCGTAAGCAGTCCGCAGTCGATAATGACGGAAAAATGTGGTACATGTAAATTGTACTATTCATTTCCAATACAAAATGCGCCCACCCACGTGTTGTGGTTGTGGTACATCTGGGTAGACCCTAAAATTAAAATAATATAACGAATAAAAAATAGTTTATATACTTAAATGAGCCGTAGCTCAGTGGTTAACGCTCGCTGTAAATATAACAGAACGCGAGTAACCCGAATTCGATCCCCGCCGGCACCAATGAAATTGTTAATTGCAATTTTAAGTGCTGATTTACCACGTGCTCGGCGGCGAAGGAAAACATCGTGAGGAAACCTGCATGTCTGAGGAATAAGAAAAAAAAATATTTCGAAGACATGTGAAGTTCGTCAACACGCATTTGGGCAGCGCGGCGGACACTTCCTTGCCCTAAACCCTCTCAGAAATGAGGGGAGGCCTGAGCCCAGCAGTGGGACGTATATAGGCTGTAACTTTACTTTTACTTTACTTTATATACTTAAACATAATATACGAATTTTAATCACACGATGTACAAGTCCTCAAGTTTATTATATTTTGATAAGGATTTCTAATATACTCGTAGGTACTAAGAAATATCACGTCATGTACTGATATTTCCATACAATTTTTCTATAGAAATATTTCGTTTTGGCGCCTCATAAAAAGTGAGTATAAATACCTATATTAGAAATCCTTATCAAAATAATAAGCTTAGGCAACAATGACTGTCAATAAACACTCGATATTTATGTCATTGATTGTGAAGAGCAAAGAAATTTCTTGAAATTGTTTATTTAAGCCAAATAGGATATCTGCAATATATATCAGTAATATGTATTATTGTAGATAGAAATTAACAAGCTAGATAGTATAAGTATATAATGTATAAGTGCCCTCAGAAATTTTCTTATAATCTTGTCTTAAACATCTTAAATCAGTCCTTATCCTCGTTGACCGTAAGTGGGTAACTGCTGCACGTTGGCCTCTTTTAGAGTAGAGAAGATTTTTCGTCACCACCGTGTTTAACAAGCAGGCGCTTTTCCAATCGCAACGACGCCACCTTCACCACCACCACACGTCTCGCACCTTTGACCATACTTGACGTCTTTTTTTTTTGAGAGTTTTATATCTGCTATAAATTTACGAAATGGTTACATCGCCAACTACTAGTACTCACAAGATCTGCACCATTCCGAAGTCTGTCTTACGATACCCTAGGTATTACATCGGGTAAAGGTCTCTCTTGTGTGAAGGCGGAGGTTAAATTGTACGTAAATGATCACACATTGTCTTTAAAACGAACTACCGGAAAGATTCATTTATTTATCCATTGGGTGAATGAATCCATGAAAGGATAAGACTGATGGTGTGTGTGTTTTTTTTTTGTATATAATTACTGTTTGTTATTTTGAATTATGTACGATATAATTATAATTTACACTACAAGCTTTTAACTGTTAGATTCTATTCTAAAGATAAATTAACATTTTGTTAGCAGAACCGACAGCCAGTATTTTTGCCATCGATGTGCCCAACGAATGAACTATACTACCCTGGAGACCAGCAGTACGATTGGATTTGTGACTGCCGACCAGGTAATTGAGTCAATTTTAAATTAATAGATTATATGACCGCTTATTTAACCACTCATAATAGAGTTCCAAACGGCTTTACATTTAAAGTTATATGTAGTTGGATTTTTCATTCATCACTATTTATTATACATTTAACGTGTTTATTTGACTACAAGAAATATCACGTCATGTACTGATATTTCCATACAATTTTCTATAGAAATATTTCGTTTTGGCGCCTCATAAAAAGTGAGTATAAATACTACTCTAATGACGGCAGCCTGCGTCATCCCATATTGTTACAAGGATACCTTCATAGATGAGGAAGATAAAGTGCCAGAAAGATTTCGTGGTCTATTTTGTGCATGTGACAAATATTTTTACCGTTAGAGCCTATCAAAGTCCAATTTTGAATATAGGCCTCCCCCATTGGTTGCGTCATAGGGGATATTTACCATAGTTGCCACGCTTGGCAAGCGGTTTGGCAACGGCAGTTCTTTATTTTTGTCCTTAAAAGTACCAATACTGTTACTGCCCATATTTCTTTTCACATACGAGAGGTCCACTAGCAGCCACGCATAATTTTATTTAGATATTTATGAAGGAGCGGGGAGAGACATCATATAGCGTAAAAATACTGCCGGCTTGGATATCAAACAAAATTGGGTTAGTGTACTTGGGAAAGTCATACGAGCATACGACCGACATTCGGTCGATCGTTGTAGATATCCGTGAGAAGAGAAGTGTCCGCATTAGGTACCTAAGCTAACACGAGGGCTTGTCAAAAGTAAATAATAATATTTATTCTTTTTTATTACTATCGATATGTTCAAAGTATTTACCTTGTAACGTATAGAATTTTCTACAAGTCGTAACTACTTGAAAAATATCTCTGACCACTGTTTGAGACACCTCTTCTTGATATTTAAACGCTATCTCTATTTTGCAATAAATTAGCCAATTTTGACGCAGAAATCTCGAAGTGATGAGTAGAAAGTGCGACTTATTTGATTTTTGTAAACGGGTAAAACCCGGTGTGGCGTGTGACACACATTTTTTATTTTATTTTAGTGAGGTCGAGTGTTCTGGCAGATGCGTGAGGCGCTGCGATGTTGTCATGTCTCAGAAGACCGTATTCCTGTTACAATACGGTGTTTAAGTTGTCTTTTACAACACGCTGATAATATTTTTTGTTATTTCATCTTCTAGCACCACAGTGCGATCATTTATTTTTGTGTATTTCGGTCACGACGACTTTCGTTAAAGTTGCCTCATTTTCAAAGCACCATACAGTAAATTGTATCTTTGTTTGGGTATGACAGTTGTATAGCCATATTTCATCGCCAGTTGGCATATCGTAAACGTTATTTCTGTAGAGATAAATTTTTCCATCATGAATTTGCACCATCTATCTACCCGACGGTCTTTTTTCTCATCGATTGGTTAAAGTTAAAGTCCGTGTGTAACTTATTGTATATAAGCGGGGCAATGTAAATTATAGTGTCTTTTTGCAAAACACTTCTTGTTCTAGGGATCGGGTATTTGAAGAACCTTTTCTTTGAAATGTTGATATATGGTGCTTATACGATGGTACCTTCGTATAATTTGGTAGAGAAAAAGTTTTCTTACGCTTAGTACTCGGGCTTTTTCATACACTAGTGTAGTTGGATAACGAAACGGAAGTAGCAGCATTACTTTTAAAATACATCTTACGTCACGTTTACTTTTGACTAGAATTGTCTTACAAGCGTCGCCCCATTAACAAATACCGTAACTTATTAAAGATTCACAGAGAGCCATGTAAGTTTGTAACAGTAACTTTGGACTTGATACAAACCATAGTAACTTTAAAAACATATTCAAACTTTCTTATCGTTATACTAAGTGATATTATTTGATGTTTCCATTGAAGATTTTTATCAACAATAATACCAAAATATTTTATTGCGTTAGTTGAAATTAGTTGTACTGATGCTTTATTTAAAAAATGGAACTTAAACTTTAGAAAATATTTGGGATAATTTACGCAACAAAACTGTATCTTAAACGTGCCAACACTAACTTAACCGAACCTAAAGCACTTGGCCAATGTTTTGTTGTTACTACATATTTATATTTTTGATGATGTGTAAAAGTAAAAAGGTACAGCTTATTATATTTATGTCCCACAATTGGGCATAAGCCCCACCTGTGAGATCACATATACTCTCAATTCTGAGAGGGCTTTTGAAGCAAAGAAGAGTTAGCCTCAATGAGTGTTGTTAGGCATCACATTTCCATTCACATGCCCTCTAAATATTTTAATTATCTATCTCTATCTAATGTTAATATCTATCTCTATCTAATATAATTATCTATCTCTATCTAATATTAATATCCATCTCTATCTAATATTAATATCTATCTCTATCTATTAGCCCTCTAAATATTTTAATTAGTCAGAGGGTGCGTTTGGCACAAAAAAGCGCTAGCAAGCGCTTGTAAGCAAAATGGCGATCGTAAGCGGTAAACGCTGTCAAATCGTAAGTAGCTATTTTCCTCCAGGACACGATGTTAGTTTTAACCGGGGAACCTAACCTAATTTAAATATATGTTTGTAAAGTATTCATATTAAAAACTTACCAATCATGAATTTTTAATAACATGTATATGTTTATTCACGTTATTATATTACTTAAAACTAATATTGCACAAAACAACTTATAAACTCTACTTCAAAACAAACAAATTAAATAAGCAAAATGGCGGATTGTGTCAGCGCTACTGAAGTAGTACTTGTGTCCTGGCCGAAAACTATTTTAGCGCTTGTAAGCGCTTGCTAGCGCTTTTTTCTGCCAAACGCACCCAGACATTCAGGTTTCTTCAAAATATTTCTTCATCGTTGAGCATGTGATATATCAGCATTTAAAATTTTAACTAAAAATTTCATTGTTAGGTGCCGGCTGGATTCAAATCACGGCTCCTTATATTTTATTTAAATTATACTAAATCCATGTTCTTTTTAATCTATTTGTAAATTATCATAATTATTCTTGTTTCAATACCTAACTTTAATATTTCTATAAATTTATTGCAGGTTATTTATATCATCCGGCTACAGATGCTTGCTGGCTCGCTTACCAACGTGGACCTTGTCCTAAGGGCCAGTATCTAGTCTTGCCGAAGACTTCAGTGATTCCCGTTTGTGAAATAAATCCTTGCATAGGTGACAATCTAGTTATGTGGCATGAAAAATGTGAGACTCTAGGTTCTTTTACTCCTTGTGGTAAAACATACCCTGCCAGCGCTTTGTGGGTTAATGCCACTACCATAACAATAGACTGTGTAAAAATCTACATGGAAATTGAACCCAGATTTTCGCAAGACAATATAGGAGAACAGGTTTTGTGTCCACCTGGATGCAAGCGAAGTATCAAAAGTCAATGTGTGCCTGGTCCTAGAAGCTAATAATGATATTAATATTTTTACGAAAATTCGTAATAGCTACTAAGCTTTAGCCATTGCTTACCGAATAATCAAAGGAAAACTTTTTGTATTATATTTTGAGAAATTTTTTGTACAATGTTTTGCACAAGGAAACATTTTACATACATTATGGTCAAACGAGTTGACTTACAATATATTCAACTACTATATAATATGTTTTTTCTTCAAGTACCAATTTCACCTGCACGTGATGCTCCTTGCTAATTGCGGAAGAGGTTCTGAGGTACGACTGTTGGGAGAAAGCCATCCTAATTAGACTGTACATAAATCTCACCAACCGACTGAGTGTAGGACGCATTTAGAGACCCACCTTCCCAGTGTGTTGTGTACGATACGTGTTGAATTCCTTGGCGTATTCTTGGAAAGACCTACCTTCATACATAATACTAGCTTGCCAAGCAGACGTTGTTCTACCCTTTCCGACGACCCTTTGTCATGCCCTACTAAAAATCCTTAAATTCGCAAAAAAAAAATTGTGGGTCACTTATGGGCAAAAAAACTATCCCATCTCTTAAGTTGGACCAAACTGACACGGTGTGCAAATTTGATTAAAATCGGTTTAGTAGCTTCGGAGTCCATCGCGGACACAACGTGACACGTAATTTATATATATTAAGGTACTACCATCACAATATTATTTAACTAAGACTGAGTAAAATACTTAACTCTTATTTATTACATACGTATTTAGCCCCGCTATTGTTTCAACAATAAAATAAGTGTAATTATATTTATCAGTCTGCGATATTCCAACACGAAGAGGTTTTTATTTCTACGAATCCACTTGACCACTGATTGTACTTATCAATAATAAAAAACTGTTAACTATAATATGTTATTTTATTAACACAAGACTTTTATTTCATTTGACCCAATTTTGCATAGCTTACTTTTGAACACACTGTTAAGCAAAGAGTTCAAGTAAGAATCAATATGTAGCGGCGCTGTCGTCGCGCCACAAGCGAAAACACACCGAAGCCTAAATCGCGCTATCAACATTCCGAATCATAAACAGTATATATAGAACTTCTCCGAATTATCACTCGGAGTGTTGGCCGCTCCCCGGGCAGAACACCTTGCCCGGCGGGAGATCTCCCCTTTTCCTTCTACGGCCACAGTGGTGACCCCGACGTGATCTGAACACGCAACCAACAACCTTCGGAAACTTCAAGCTTCCTCAACGTCATAGAATACCCCACCCATTCGCTCCCGAGCAGATATCGTCTGCAGTCTTCATATCCTGCAAGCCATCTAGCTTCACAAGGTTCATCGCAGCACTGGAATAATAATGCTTCCTGTTCCTTCAAGCTACTCTCTGCGCCATACAGTGTTCGGCACGGCTCTGAGCCTCACTGCTCGCCTCTGCTTCACGGCACTCTCGCAGATTACTTGCCTTCTTCTCGACTCACCGCAGACAAGGCAATCTCCTGGCACTTGCACATTCGTCGGCAACGAGGCTGCACTATCGACCTCCGTTCTGAGCAGGGGGTGATGTAGCGGCGCTGTCGTCGCGCCACAAGCGAAAACACACCGAAGCCTAAATCGCGCTATCAACATTCCGAATCATAAACAGTATATATAGAACTTCTCCGAATTATCACTCGGAGTGTTGGCCGCTCCCCGGGCAGAACACCTTGCCCGGCGGGAGATCTCCCCTTTTCCTTCTACGGCCACAAATATATAACCACAGAACACAATTATTCTCTACCGAGAGATGTTGACTAAAACCTGCTAAAACGTAGTATTACACTCTTTAATGTTAACATGACATTATTAAATATCGAAGCCACGGAGTATCATAAAACAAGATCAAAGCCACAAATTATCATCTTATTTATACATAATATACATGAGAATCAAAGCGTTGAATCTATGGCAACAGACAGCATCATATTCTTGTAACTATGACAACTGGTCACCTGTACTGCTATGACCTTAAGCTAATAATAGTGTTCTGTGATATATGACAATAAAATGTGTTAAAATGCTACATATTGACTACATATTATTTTAATCGTTCATATCAATGAAAGTACCTAATTATAGAGTAACTCAACCAAAAGGAACATCTTATCTAAGGTTTTTATAAACATATTGATGACATTCGTGTTTGTACTGAATGTTAAAAATTTTATTTAAAAGAGCAATTCATTAATATAAGAATAATATTATTGTGTATCAAATATTTTTTCTTCTTTAAAGTGTTTTTGGTAGAATTTTTTGAGAGTTAGTCATTGTGAAATTATATATAGGTACTTATACTATTTTGAAGTAATAGATATTTTCGAGTAAATAATAAAGTTTGTGTTAAAAGTAAAAATAAATTAAATTACGTACATATATCCAGGAGGTAGGTAAGTTTTATGAATTTTACTTCACAATTTTTTATGTTTAAATCGTAATTTTTCTTGGCTTCTTTTGTAATTTGTTTGAATTTACTTTTATAAAAGTATTTATTTATTATTTTATTGTTCACATACTTTATGATGGTAAATTTTTTACAAGGTATTTATCTTTATAATTAACGGGTGACAAACAAACACATATATCTAATTTAGAACCAAAATGTGGCTCTACCACGTATAAAATGAATATTTTCAGAATTTAATGGTTTCTAATACTTAAAAAGTAATAACGCAAACAAAGTCATATGTTTTACGTTTCTGATTGTATAATGATATTAATGACCTTCAGACCGAACTTCGGTCACGACGGCCGGTCTCAAAGGAGACTCGCCATCTGTGCAGGACAGGATTATAGTGCAAGAGTGTATGCACAAGCGCAAGGTTCACTCTCTATTCTCTCACTCTCATGGTGCGATGGAACGGCATTTCGACACGTCTGGAGAGAGATTAGACGCAGGACCCAAAGGCTTTATATGCTTACCGAGGCACGGGGTTGAAACGCCGCCGACTTCTTGACTCCAGACTAATAACTTCTTGGTAGAAAAACTCGACAGCTGATTACTTTGGTCCGACCCGGGATTCAAACCCGGGACCTCATGATCAACAGTCTCATTTATGACCACTAGACCAACGAGGTAGTTATTTAATTGTATATATTACATATTATTATATATATTATGTTTGGTGAACGATGTTTTATAATTTAGTTGAGTTATAGAAGTAAGCACTACCGAATTCAAGTTTATTTATTTATTTCCCACTATACAATTATCTTTACAGGTTTATCACTTAATGCGATAATGTTGACAACTATTTTTACCAACTCCAACTACACCGTTACAAGCTAATAATTTTCGATTATAAATATGTACTTATTGCTATTTCAAACACCGTATTTATAACACAGTAGGACCATAACTAATTTCAAACAGAGCTCTTACTATGAACCCACCCAGAGTACAACAAAATATATCTATGTCTTCTGCTATACGGTTGAGGATACGGAGGGCGCGCGTAAATGGCGATTCTGTCACCAGCTTAGTGCGGCCGTGCGGCACAGCTAGCAGCTGTGGCCGCCGCCGCCGCCACACGTATCTGTCCGAAACACATATGCGCACTTGTTGCAATACGTCTGGATTGTGAATCTTTCCCCTCATCACCTTAAAGATATATGAAACAAGCGATAAATTCCTCCTAACCTTTAGCTCATTGTATCCTACCATACCTAAGGTGAATAAGGTAGGATACTTATTTGGGTAAAATGGGTATACTCCATACATTTTTTGATATAAATATCTAATAAATATATTCTGCACTCTCTCCAACATGATACTATAGTTAGTTTCATGTGGAGACCAGATGACCAAGTTAATTAAGAAAGGTGTTCCAGCATTATTAGAATTATTTATAGTTAATAATAAAGCTTAAATCGATAAGAAAATAATTTTCAATTTTTTTTTATTAATAAAAATTATATTTTGTAAATGTTTGATACCTACCCACAATATTAAATAGTAGTGACCTGGCACAGGATTCGATCGTTTATTTTCATAGAACGACAAACAGGGGCAAGCTTAGCATTATCGCGATTAATCTTTGACCCACTTCGACCATCGACTGACCATCAGCGCAACCTGCGCAGTTAGCGCATATTATATAAAAAAACCTACGATTGACCTTCGGACTTTTTTTCGCCTGATTCATTAGACTTTGTGCCCATTAGAAATAATTTAACTAAGAATGATTTAATAATAGTTGCTTACATACATATAAAATAATGTACATAAAATCATAATTTAACATTACTTCATTAAGGTCCCCGTTGGCGTGTCTACAATATTAACTGCTGCAAATACTTCTTAATCTAAAACTTCCCGTAATGTCACGTCTATCAGAGTATTGATATTTTTTTGATTCTGTTTTCCGTGACCCTGATTGCAATTCAAAGCAATTAGGAGATGGTTTTTGCCATCAGCTGCTGTAAGTTTTTTTCTGGCATTTTTTTGTCAATATTTGTGACAATAATGGGAACAATGGGGGTAAACGTAGGGTGTTAACCGCTGATGTGGCGACGGCCATTTTAAAGTTTTGCCACACCTGGCGGTTCTTTTACGGAGGTGCACGCGAAATATTAAATGCTGTTTAATACAATATATTACATAATAGAGCAAGAGCTCGTGAATGCAAGACCTTCCTTATTTTATAAAAGCCGAAAAATTCTCATCGCTTGCCCAACATAGGTAGGAATGATGGGCTACTATGAAGTTTGAATCATCGTGGCTTTGGCAGGTAACAGGTAGCAAAGGTGTTTAAAATAGCAACTTAAATTTGTCTAAGTATAAAGCGTAATTTTCTCATATTTTCTTCGAATAATATTAAAAATCACGTCATCCGTTGCCATCAATAAATAAATCATGGAATAGTTTAAAGTCCAAATGATTTTTGGAAATTTTCGGACTTTAAATTAGGATTTTTTAATACGAGGGGGCAAATGAGCATGCGGCTCTCCTTATGGTAAGTGACTACTGCAGATGCGTTGCCAGCATTTAAAACAGT